CGCGAGAGAAAAAGCACAGGGGACGTGCTTTGATCGAGGAGACCCGAAGCATTCTCCTCCCGCCGTATCCAGTGGGAGGGGCGGAAACAATGGCGGGGAGGCGGCCCCACAAATAACCCACCCCATGCCTTGGAGGGCTTAAGGGATGACAACCTGGGAGTCACTGGAGTGTAACGCGGGTGCACGGAGACGCACCCTGACTGCCCACGTCGCTGCGTTCTGGACCGGCTACAGCTTCCAGAGGGTCTTCCAGGGCGCGTTGCAGTAATCTACTCAGGAGGGGACTGAGGCACGAGGAACTGTGAGCAGAGCCTCCTCGTCCAGGAAGGAGCGCAACTGGTGCACAAAATAAAGTTGCGCGAAAGCCCTTCTGGCCCTACCTGCCGCCCGCTCCTCCAACAGGACCCTGAAATTGCGCACCGGTTCTGTCTGGGGCGCGCAGCCCCCTCCAGAACCACAGACAGAGCCGGGGGGCCTTGGCAGGGCTGAGCCGAAGCCCGTCCTTCCCCACCCACGTGGGGCCGGCCCACGCGGAGACGTGCAGCTGGGTGTCCTCAGCAACCTGGCGAAGCCTCGCCCAGCAGCTTCATGCAGGCGCCAAGCAGGAGTGGGAGAGAGGTGGGCCTGTAAGGAAGAGGACCTAGACCGAGACGCTGGCCGAAGGGGCTGAAACATTTTTAAGGCCAGACAACATTGGGAACCGACTAACGCAGTCCCCTCCCTAATTCCCTGAAGGAGGAGCAGGGGGAGCAGGAACCGCACGATCAGACTTGCAAGATCCTGATTTGCAATAGCTTTACAATAAAAGTAGTCCTGACCTACATGGCGCTGGTCCCCTAGCCTGGTCTACCTTAAAGGGCTGACCTCAACTCACAGGTGACCAAGCTAACAGTTCCAAGAACCCATCCAAGAGGATCAACCCACCCCCCGATAACCAGGCCGACCTGAGCCTCGGCCGCCTCGGCCACCGATCCTGTCTCGAGGCCAGAGCCCAGCTGGGAACCTTCTCAAACAAACGCCTGGGACGCTCCTTGCAGCAGCCCTGAAGGAAACCCTCCGGCTCAGCCCTCCCTCGCAGGAGGAACCGGTCCCTCTCTACAAGGCCACCTGGCTGACGCAGCGAGCAGAGACGTGCTGACGTTTTGCTGCCCCTTACGGCCACAAGACAGGCCTTACCAGCAGCTCTAACGCCTGCTCCAACTCATTCCTCATTGCCTCTACAGGTAGTCCTCAGCTAACAATGGTAATTAGGACCAGCAACTCCATCGCAAAGCGAAGCAGTCATAAAGCGCAACGTCATGTGATCAAGCCGACTTACAATGGCAGTTGCGGCAGTACCCACCGTTAGGTGAATCCTGCGCAGTCACAGCATCCCACCGTCATGGGATCAC